CTTTGGTTGTTTTGTGATCTGGGCGAACTACGGCATGATGTGGTAAATAAAATGAAGCATATTTACCGTTGGAGTTAATTTCATTAGATGACGTTTCGTCCATATGACCTAGAGTGATGTACTCCTTTATAACAGCCTTATATTGTGATTGAAGGTTGGGATCTTTGGCTAGTGTTTTCTCCATGCTCGTGTACTGAGCTAGGGCTATGAATCGTGATGATCCAAGAAATATTTTGTCAGGAAACTCAGGTTTAAATGGTAATCGCACTATGTACCTACCATTTTCGTTACGTGTTGTTGTTTTGGTGTAAAAACTTTCACAAAACTCATCTTCTGCTGACTTTGAGCGAGCTACTGGAATTTCTTCCTGTTCCCAAAACTTTCTTAACAGAGTATTTAGCTCAGAAGTTTCATTCGGAGCAACAGTAGTTGTGAATGTCTGTATTGATTGCGCTTTTATGGGACCACTGAGTACCCAACCAAAGACAGTATTATAGGCCGAGGTTTGACCACAAACATTTTTCTTAATACCTTCAATATTTATAGAGTGTTCATAATCATTACCTAAAATTAGATCTATTTGCGAAGATTTGTTAAACGTTGGATCGGCTAGATCTAATTCATTTAAATCGGTTGAATAAGGTATTTCAAAAGTGTGCGCTGGAAGTCTTTTTGTTACTTTTGGTAGCACTATGGCTTTAATGGGAAGTCGTAAATCATACTTTTTGGCGTACAAAACAAATTCGCATTCTTTGTTTGCCGATTGCTTTTGTCCGCCAATACCGATTATTTCGAAATGAGATTTTTCATAGGGTAGCTGAAGACGATTACGAATTCGTTCTGTTAGAAAAGTTCGTTGAGAACCGGGATCAATTAGCGCTCTAATTGTAAAATGTTCACCTCTGTGCTCTATTTGCATTAATGCAGTTCGCAGCAATATATTTTCATTGCTTGTAGAGCAGTTGGCTTGAAATTGCCTTGAGGTGCTAGGAATTTCATCTTGGGGGTTTATTCTTGAAATTTGAGTATTTGTGGAAGAATCTTGATTTTGCTTGTTGTTACTATTTGCGGAGTCTTTATATTGTGAGTTTTCTGCTGATAGAGTGGAATTTTGTAATTTTTGCCTCAAATGCAATAGTGTATGATGAGGTTTTTTACATTGCAGGCAAGTGAGTTTACTTTTACAGTTAGATTTAAGATGAGAATATGCTAGACAATTATTGCAGAATTTATTTTTAAATACGTAATCTATTCTTTGCTGTACCGTGAAGGCTCGAAATTTTGGGCATATTCTCAAAGAGTGATTTTCTTTGCATAACTTGCACGACAAGTTTAAATTTTCTTGAGACGTGTATGTTTGTATATCGGATCTGGTTGTATCAGATAGAGTAAAACAATCTTTAGTTGTTTTTATGCTGTTGAGACGTTCCACAGCTTCATATCTGTCCACGAGGAATTGGGACATTTGGTTCCACTTTGGAAGCTCACGTGGAGAAGTTAGCGATTGTTCCCATAGCGAAAGTGTAACATTTGGGAGTTTGGTTGAAATCAAACGTATGAGAATAGGATCCCAGCTTTCTACGTTGACGCCAAGCGTTCTGAGAGTAGCTAGAGAATCATTTACGGATGATTGAATTCTCCTTATTGACTCACTATCCTCATTTTTTGCCGAGGGTATGTCAAATAGGATTTTTATTTGGCTGTCAACCAAAACTCTTTTGTTTTCATAGCGTGTTTTTAGTGCATTCCACGCTAGATCGAAATTATCATTTGAAAGGGGATATCTTTTCACTATTGCGCTAGCTTCACTTCTCGTTTTATTCCTGAGGTGATATAGTTTAGTGACTGGCGTTAATTTTGGATGGTTTATGTACACGGCCGTAAACATGTCACGAAATGATGGCCATTGTTCATAACTACCTTTGAAAATTTCGGTGTCACAAGGAGGAAGTTTAATACATGAGGTGTCAGGCATAAAATTTTGAGTGGAAGCTTGCTGGGGTATGGAAAATCTAGCTGATGTATTGAAGCCTTGCATATTCGAAGTGTCGACTCTAAAAGTCTTCACTAAGTCGGTTATTTGCGAATTGCAGTGATAGTATGCTTCAGTGCACGCATCAAAATTTGTTTTGGCAATTTCTTTGAACTCTGGGTCTATAGACTCTTCAGATGCTGTCATTACTTTTTGATATGAATAATCTAAATTGCCCCATCTCGATTCCAAGTCCTTTAACTTGACCTCGAGAACTGATTCAGTTTGATCTTCGACACGAATCGTATTAAACTTTTCGCAAAATTGTAACAAATGATCACATTTAAATACAAATTCTTCCTTTAGACTAGGGTTAGAATTAGAGGTATCTTTCGATGTCGTAGCCATTTTGACAAGTGTGTTTGGGCAAGTTTTAATTTTATTTTGTGAATTGGTGCTAAATGGGAAATAGCGATAGATTTTAAGTTCTAATTAAGTTATTACTTATAATTTTGAGGCTATTTGGGGAATAGCACTAGATTTTAATATCTAGTTTAATATTTTCTATATTTTATGTGGGATTACCAATAGATTTGAAATTGATTTAAATGTATTTTGTAGATTTGTGGCTATTTTAGTAATAGCACTAGATTTAAGTATCTATTTTATAATATTTTTAGATTTGGGGCTATTTGGGAAATAGCACTAGATTTTGTATCTAGTTAAATATATTTTTTAGGTTTGGGGCTATTTTGGAAATAGCAATAGATTTAAGTATCTATTTACAAATATTTCCTTTTTTTCTCGATTTGGGGCTATTTGATAAATAGCACTAGATTTTTTATCTAGTTAAAATTTTTTTTTTTTTTTGATTTGGGGCTATTGGAGAATAGCACTAGATTTTTTATCTAGTTAAATAAATTTTTCTTTGATTAGAAATAGCACTAGAATTAAATATCTAGTTTAAAAATATTCATTATTATCAGATTTGGGGCTATTTCGGAAATAGCACTAGATTTTTGTATCTAGTTAAATATATTTTTTCCCTTCTTTAGATTTGGGGCTATTTTAAAAAACAGCACTAGAATTAAGTATCTAGTTATTTACTATTTATTATCTAAAATTTATTAAACTGTTTTAATTCTTTAAGAGGATTTATTTTAATAAATCGAAAATTTTTAAAATGTCTTTGGTTCCTAATTTTCGTTCGCTTTATGAAAATTTATTTTAATAAATCGAAATTCTAAAACTGTTTTTATTTTCTAATGCTCATACGCTTTATGAAATTTATTTAAATTTTTTCTTTTTTATTTAAGTTTTCATACGCTTTTTGAAATTTATCTTTATCAGTACAAGTTCATTTGGTTAAGGGATATTACCTTGTTTAAATTTGTAGCGCACAAATCAATCATAAAGCTGAGATTACTGTTTTCTTTTGTTATTCTCTTTTCCCTTTTTTCGTATGATTATTGAAACCACTCAAACAAGAACATTGAGTAATTGGGATCAAATAATTCTGTTCTTAAGCAAAGCATCATTTAGAGATTTAGAGAGTTTATCAAATGTTTTCATACAGAGCTTTACTTTGAAGAGTTTTTATTTTTAAACTCAATAAAGATACCACAATTGACATTTCGTTTCTAAAGAAAATTGTAGATATAATAAATTATTAAACTATGAGTGGGATTATAAGCGGTTAGTGGGTAAAGAAATAAATTAATAAGTTTGGGTTAAGAAGAATTATTTAGTATTGTCTTTTTATAACATTCTTTGTTATTCATTTTAGATAATTTATATATTAACTTTATTAAAGAGCAAGTTTAGTGTTTTCGTTGTTAATTATTGCTTTCGATTTTAGTTACTCGTTTTATTTATCTGTTTTTTGTCTGTTGTGGCTGTATATGTATTTGATTAATTCCAAATATACATAACTTTTTAATTTTATCTTCCTTTTGGAAAATAAAAACCACGTACGAATTCATTAAACAGACTATTATGAAATTTTGCCCGTTTTATTTATATTGTTTGATGTGGCTGTACATGTATTTATTAATTTTAAATACACATAACTTTTTAATTTTATCTTCTTTTTTAGAAAATAAAAACCACTCACTAGTTCGCAATTTTTTTCTTTTAATATTAAATGTCACTACGGTAACCCTTTTTTCCTTTATCTTATCGTTTTGTTTCTCCTTTGTGTGCGCTCTTTTTATTTTTATTTTAGTTAATTTCTCATTGAATCGAGCTTTCTCTTACTGTTGTAACAAACTGGGGGAGGAGTTTTATTTTAAGAGAATGCAATATAAGATTGTTCACTTGTTTTGCATTTATTTATATAAATAAAAATATTATTTTGTGTATATCTTTTTACTTTATAAATTTTAAACAATGTTTTTATGTTTTCTTTATGATTATGCAATTAAATTTTCAGCATTAAGAGGAACAAATAAGAATTTATTATTAAAAAAAACTTACTTGAAGTTATATTGAGTGAGATTATTCACTTGTTTAGTGTAACTTAGTACAATTTTGGGGTTGAAAAATTATTTTTTCCTTGAGTAAATTTTTCCTTGTTCTCTTAACTTTGAAATTTTTTAAATTATTTTAGTTTTATAAGTTTTTAATGTTTATCAATAGCAATTTTCCTTTATATGTATGTTTTATATATACATATTTTTTCTTTTTTTGTTTAAATTTCAACTCAACAAGCACTTTTTTTAATTTTAATTTATTCAATTATTAAATTTAAGAGAACAAATGAGAAAATGAGTTTCCAAAACAAAAAAACTTACTTGTCGTGATCTTGAGTGATATCCTAAACATTGGTGGTTGAAAATTATTTCTTATTTGACTAACAATTTTTCATATTTTGTTCTCTTTTCTTTTTCTTTTCTTTCCTTTAATATTTTGTATGTATACTAATTTCTCTAGACAGAAACCAAATTATAACGGTCTTTTTTTCCTTAGGGTATCACTATTTAAAATTTTTTCTTCACTATATATAAATTTTTTTAATGCTCATATGAACTTTTTTCTTGCAGCAAATTACATACATACATATGAATATATTTTGAAAAATTTTTATGTATATTATGTAGTGTATCACTAAACCCAATATGTATGAATATTAACCTCACTTAAATTTTTGGATATGTATAATGTGTAGGGGATCAATAAACGATTTTTTTTTTTTAATTTTGATGTACCTATGCAAATATTTAACCGTGTACCAATTGTTCATATTAGCACTTTTCTTCTGATTGTTGTTTTAAATAAACTAGGTTTTAGTTTTTAATGCACGTATGTGATTTTTTTCCATTATTTTATAATTTAGCTTTCTTTTTACTTTTATCCAAATTAATTTTCACTTTTTAATTTTGCTTTTATTTTTTATATAACTTACACTTTTTATTTTATATTTTTCCTTAAAATTTCGCGTAATTTTTATATTCTTTTGTCTTTATTTCATATTTTTGTTTAAATTTTAGAGTAGTTTTCCCTTTTCTTTATAATTTTAATTTTTTCGTTTTTATGTTTTCCGTATTATTATATGTTAATAACGTTTTAGGTACTCACTTTGGTTTTGGTTTTTTAACTGATTTTGATGTGTGGTTTTGATTTATCGTTTACCTCATTATGCTGTGAAGAGAGTTTGATTGAGTCAAATTAACCAGGGTGACCAGTTCAATTTTTGAAGGACCATGAATTAATCTGATGGGGACAGATTACCTTAAATCTTCCAAGCCTTTGGGAATTGGGAGCTGAAGCTTTAAGGGAAGATTATAATTTTAATCACTCAAAGTTAGTGATTAAAATTATATAGGGTTTTGAAGAGAAATAAAAAGAGATTAATAGTTTTTTTTTTTTTTTTAAACGTTATAATGAGTATTTTATTTCAGTTTTTGTTACCTTTTCTTTTGTTTTATATGTAGATTAAGAACTTCAATTATGGTAAGTATAATTTAGTGTTACGGTAAGTATGTAATTTAGGGCTACGGTAAGTATATATTTTAAGTTACGGTAAGTATACAATATGTAATTGATTTAGATTTAAGGTAAGTGGTTTCCTTAATTGAAGTTGTTCAGCCTGTTGCTAAGGGAGAAGTGAACGAATTCAATTTTAATTTTAGCTAACAAGAACTATCTTCGGTTACAGATAGCCGAAGATATTTGGAAAAAATCCGTAAGTACTAAAAGTGTTACGTTTTATATTCATTTGTAACGCCCTCTATACTTCAATATTCTTAAAATTAATGTAATTTACATACTTATGAATTAGGGTGTACAATTCTTTTCATATTTTCTTAATTTAACAATTTTGTTAATATAAAATAATAAGTACAATTTTGTTTAAGCTTTTAATTCAAATTTAAAGTTCATTCTAATTCAGTTGATCATATTTTAAAGTTAATAATTTTATTTATCTATTGTTCAAATATGGGTTTGAACAATACCAAAGCAAATGGCAACTATAATGCAATAAAAAGATATATAAACGACTGTTATAACATGAAAACTATAAAAGTTATTTGCAACCATATCGGAGCCTTAAATTACCGCATTTTTGAACCTGTACCAATAAATATACCAATCTATCCAATTTTTGTAAAAATTCATTATGCCACAAATTATACACCAAAATAAAGTGCAACTGTAATGCTTTAAAATGATGCGTAAACTAATGCCCTAGCATGAAAACTGTCAAAGTTATTTGCAACCATATCGGAACCTCAAATTACCACGTTTTTAAACCTGGGAAAATAATTCTACCGATTTATCCAATTGGCCGTTTTCTAAAAATACATTATGCAATAAATTATATACCAAAACAAATGGCAATTTTAATGCTTTAAAATGGTACATAAACGAAAACTGTCCTAGCACGAAAACTGCCAAAGTTAATTGCAGCCATATCGGAACCTCAGATTACCGCATTTATTAAACATAGAACAATAATTCTACCGATCTATCAAATTCACCAATTAGTAAAAACACACATTATGCTACAAATTATATACCATATTAAAGTGCAATCATAATGCTTTAAAATGAAGCATAAATGACTGTCATAGCATGAAAACTGTCAATGTTATTTGCAACCATATCGGAACCTCAAATTACCGCCTTTTTAAAGCTGTGAAAATAATTCTACCGATCTATCCAATTGGCAATTTTCTAAAAATATATTATGCAATAAATTATATACCAAAACAAATGGCAACTATAATGCAATAAAAAGATATATAAACGACTGTTATAACATGAAAACTAAAAAAGTTATTTGCAACCATATCGGAGCCTTGAATTACCGCATTTTTAAACCTGTACCAATAAATATACCGATCTATCCAACTTTTGTAAAAATGCATTATGCCACAAATTATACACCAAAATAAAGTGCAACTGTA